GGAATTCTGGGAGTTGAAGTCCACCCATCTTAAAGTGGCCAAGGTTGAGAAACACGATCCTAACCTCTTGAGTTCTCTGCTTTATGGAGTCTAGCAGATGATTAAGTAATGAAGTTGTAAAATGCAATAAAGTAGTCATTTGAAATGGGACGTCACTCGACACCCGATCGCACTCTTCATTGAGAGCAACATGAATTCATTAATTGCCAGGTAAAACTCCTATTTTAACCTGAAAAAACGTCAGCCAATTTCTGCGGGGGCGGGGCACGTAATCTTTCTATGGGCCCCCTCCCCTTTCCCAAAAGCAGGGCTCCTCCCGGCTGGGAATGATGGGGCCTGGGACTCAGCGCAGCTGGGGGACGGACCGCGCGTCCGTCCCAATTCCTCTCCCGCCATTGCCCCCTGGCGGCCGGGCGGGGTTCCTGCGGGCAGAAGCGGCGGGCGCCCCGCGAGTCGCCCTTCTTGACGTCATCAGGAGGCGCGGTTGCCTGGGAGCTGCGGTTGCTGGCGGCCGAGGCTGAGGAAGATGCCGGAAGGGGTGGACGGGCGGCGTCTGCTGGCGGCGGTCGTGCAGCTGCAGGTGGGGCGGGCGCGAGAGTCGGCGGGGCTACGAGGGAGGCCGGGCAGGCCGCCAGTCCTCAGGGCTTGGCCGAGCGCCCCAGCAGCCCCCGTCTGACGAGGGGCCAGAGTCGGAGGGCAGAAGATCCGGCCGGGTTGACCCCCGGGGTCCCCAGTCGCAGTGGGGCCGCGCCTGTTGGGCTCGCTTCGGCTCAGGGGTGTGCGGAAGAAACGGTGATCCAGTTAAACCAGTGTTTCCCAGCAGGGAGATGGACGGACTTCCAGGATTCCCCAGCCAGCCTGGCGACTGGGGAATTCTGGGAGCGGAAGTCCGTCCATCTTAATGTTTCTGAGTCAAACAGAGGTGGCCTCAGCTGTGAGGAGCCGAGGCTGTCGGGCTGCCTTGGCTCTTAAGGCAGGGGCTGCGCTGGCGCTGCCCTCCAGCTCTGGGCCGCAGGAGACTGGTGGTCTGGGGAGGCCTGGAGAGCAGCCCCCGCCCCGTGGCCTCGGTAGCCCTGATTTGGGCAGGAAGAGGGGCTTCCTGCCTCTCCTCGGTTTGCTCTGGCATTTGTGGGCTCCCTCCCTGGAGGGAGCTGGTAGAATTCGCACCTGACGCCCTGTGTATGGAGGAGCAGTTTAGAAACCAAGACCCTGCAGTGAATTCTTCTGCTTAAAGTCTTTGTTTCAGTGGTAGAAATGATGAGGGGCTACACCAGTGTTTCTCAGCCTTGGCCACTTTAAGATGAGTGGACTTCATCTCCCAGAATTCCCCAGCCAGCATGGCTGGC